ATTAGGAACTGTTCCATATGCCAATGAATCCACAATGATGGCAGCACATCTCCTGCATGCAACACACACACAAGAAAGCCCAAGTGGCCCCACACCATAAGTGTTGTGTTCTGCTGAGGGAGTGTTGGATCCCTGGGAGAAAGAGGCAAGTCAAGTCGAAGGTTGTTGGACCATGGACAGCTCCAAGTGAGCAACCTTTACATTAGAACTCCACTTTAAGCCTATAGCATTAAGTGGTATATAAATGGCGAAGTGCGCTTGGCGCAGCCTGTGGCCGGACTGTGTGGCACCAAGTGACTCTGATGCACCAGAGTCGACAGTGGTGCAGGACATTGTTGCCTTGGGGAGGACCTTGGGCCTGGAGGTCACAGAGGAGGACGTTTGCGAGCTGGTGGAGGAGCACGACGACGAGCTGACCACCCAGGAGCTGGTTGCACTGCAGTCAGAGGTTGCGCAGGAGCAGGCCTCGCTGGAAGAGGAGGAAGCAACTGAGGAACGGCTGTCCTCCAAAGAACTGAGGGACATTTGCCAGAAGTGGAATGAGGTGCAGGCTTTGCAGAGCGGCACCACCCTGACAAGCACGTGGCACATGACCAAGCGAACATTTTTGATACTGACGGTCATGTCGCCTCTCAGGAGCTGCTGAAACGGCGGATGAAGCAGCAGACCATGGACAGGTTCCTCAGCAAGAAGCAAAGAGTGGAAGAGGAACCTTCTTCGAGTGGTCCCCAGAGTCTTAGAAAATGTAATGTACCCTTTTTGATTTTTAAATGTTTTTCCTGTCATGTTTAGAAACTTAATTTATTGTTCCTTCAATTTTTGATATGCTCTTTAAAGTATGTGTGACTTTAAAGAGCAGTTAATAAACTCTTGTTGTACCGAATTTGGCTTTGATTGGACTTTTTTTGACCATAGGAACGCATTAATTGAATTTCAATGCATTCCTATGGGATTTCGTGCTTCGCAAGACGAAAAATTCGCTAGACGAAAAAACTCGCGGAACGAATTAATTTCGTCTTGCGAGGCACCACTGTATATAAATGGCAAAAGAGTAAGTAACATGGGGAAGGTGGCATGAACTGCACCTTTGTGGGTCTAAGATACAACCTGTCAGCCCTCATCTTCTCAAGCTTCCCCTTCACAGCTGTAATGCCAGAGAAGGGCTTTAGCCTCTCTTGATCACCCATCACCCATCACCCATGATGGAGAATATCCTGAAAGGGAAAGGTGCATGGTGGAACAACAAGTAGCAGGTACCATACGGCCACAGCTGCACACCTGTCTTTCATAGAGCTTGCACAGGGGCACAGGTAATAGAGCAATACACCTTAGGCAAAGCTTGTGCCATTGATGAAAGTGTATCCATAGACAGAATGGGTAGAAGATAGACATAGCTCCCTTTTGCTGCTCATGACTCCACCCTTTGCTGGTGGAACGGCTTCACTGGTGGAACATTCCACTGGCATATCTGGAGGGTTCGTCTGGCCCATCTTTTGCGTCAGCAGTGTATCCTAAGTTCTGCCAGCCTAGCTGCAAAACCTTCTAGGACCCTGGCTGCCAGATCTTGAGTAGATTATTGCAATCTGTCAGCCCATGTCCCCACCCACCAACCAAAAAAGCAAAACAAAAACCCAAATCATTGAGCATGAATTGCTGCTTAGGTTATTTGCTGTGACTTATGTATCTGCCAATAAATGTCAAGTACAGGTCAAAGAATGTGTAGCTGGATTCAATCCATAAATGTAGCTGAAAAGCTTTACTAACTCTCTCTGGTTGTCAAAAGCTGAGACCATTTCTTGGGATGGTGGGTGGATGGGTTAAGGGGCAGAATCAAAAGTCCACAAATTGTTGTTTTAGTAATGCAGACCACCAATCTTGCCACCACACAGAGAAGTTTAAAGTGCAGGGTGCAAAATCTGACTAACAAGAAGAACAAGGACAACAGGAACAGCAGCAGCAGCAAGAACAACATAGCTCTATGCAAATCTCCAAACAGGTTACAAGTTTTTTTCAGTATAATCTTGCTTTACGTAGTCCTCACCTCACCAACTCAGATCTTATCTTTTGGATTCTCTTATGACCCACATGTTTTATATATATTCTTATACTCAAGCCCATCTGTTTTTACTATGTTCAAATTGCACTGTGTTCAGTGGGGATTACTCCCAGGTAAGTGTATATAGGATTGTAGCCTAGGATTGTAGTCCTTGTTGATGGAGAGGGAGGGGTTTTAAAAAAACAAACAAAAACACACACCACTACCGCCATTGTTTCTAAAGCCTTTAAGCAACTTATTATTCAGGTATCTACTTCCTTAAAAGTCCAGTGAGTCTAATATAACTTTAAAAGCACACATGATAAAATACTTTTGACCCCTCCCCCCATAAATCCATTACTTCTCTGACACAAATAGGGACATCATTCTGTACAGTGGTACCTCGGGTTACGCTTCAGGTTACAGACTCCACTAACCCAGAAAGAGTACCTCTGGTTAAGAACTTTGCTTCTGGATGAGAACAGAAATCGGGCGGTGGTGGCATGGCAGCAGAAGGAGGCCCCATTAGCTAATGTGGTACCTCAGGTTAAGAACAGTTTCAGGTTAAGAACGGACCTTCGGAACGAATTAAGTTCTTAACCCGAGGTACCACTGTACAATGAAAGCCCTGTTCTCACACCAAAGACCACAGCTTGAACACACCCTTTCATCCCCTAACAACACATAGAATCATAGAATTGTAGAGTTAGAAGGGACCCTGAGGATTATCTAATACAACTCCCTGCAATGCAGGAATCTGCAGCTGTCCCACACGCGGATCGAACCTGCAGCCTTGACATGATCAACACCACGCTCCAACCAACTGATGTGGAAGGGAATATTCTTCACCAAATAGATGTTGTATGGGAAGGCCTGTAGCAACAGTTTTGCTTAAAGAAGAACAGAGCTGGGAAAGAATCTTCTGTGAAACCTGGAGAACTGTTGCCAATCAGTGCAGACAATGCTGAGCTAAGGTGGAGCAATGGTCTGATTTGATATAAGGCACGTCCTTTATTCCTGTTCATTTACTGTGCAGTAGCACTGGCTTCTGAGGAAAGGAGCATTGCCAATGGGATCATAACAGTTCACTAAAAACAAACAACGCCCCGCCCCCAAAACCTGAAGAATGTGTGAATTTACCCTTAATCTGGGGATAGAATAGTTGCAAGTCAAATACATCCTGCACTTTCCCCCTTCTATGTAGTTAGATATGAGCAGCTGTAAACAGAATGGGACACTAGGATTTGGTGTGTGCATTTTCATGCCTGTGTGCGAGAATCAAGCGATGCCCCCAACCCTTACACAGAGATTTATTTTCTAGAAACTGAATCCTGGAGAACTCCAATACACCTAAATGTGCAGTGACAATGTTTTAAAAGTGTATCCTTGACTCTAATCTTCTCCCCGCAACAGGCAACAGAGTTTTCCCCAACATAAAGACAAGCTTTGCTAAATAGGGGAAGGTGAAACGTACAAACCTTGGCTTTCACCATACCAGTCCCCTCAGACCCCCAAGGTCTAGCTAGTGGAATAAGCTAGTGTTGTATTGTGATGTTCAGGCACCTGCTGAAGATGCTTTTTGGTTCCAAGAAGGCTTTCCCTGATGTGTGACCCAGGCCTTTGTGGAATATTAACTGTACATCTGTATAAATGGTTTTGTTGGTTTTAAGTATTATTATTATTATTATTATTATTAGTCTCTTATCTCATTTTTATCTTGTTTGTGAAGTGGTTTGTCAGCTTGTAAAATGAATGGATTTGTAAAATAAATAATTTAAAACGTCTGTGCCTATATCTTTAAAAGGCTGAAATAGACAAAGGCAGGCCCAACCAGAGACGCTGTTAGAGAACTTTTGACACTATCTTTAGACGGTGATGTGTGTTCTAGTTACTTCGCTTTCTTCAAAGCGTGGTAAGTAAATCCTGTCCTGTTTTGGGACCCTGCGCTTTCTGCGTGGGGCCCTGGCACAGAGTTCTTCCCTGTTAGGTCTACCTGTCTCCTGGTAACTTCTCTGCCGAGATGAGATACATTCCATGGGAGGAATTCAACATCACACTTCCATCACATTTCCACTTATATGATGCATTCACTGAATCCCGCCCTACATTTTCATTTCAGGTGTAGTCATGCTTTCTACATTTGCATTTATCCATCTAAGTTAGCATATGCACATTTTATGCAAATATTCTTTTGGTGTTGGTGATGTACTTCTTCTTTTTAAGGGAAGGGGTGATGTGTAAGTAAAGGCTTTTGTTGGCCTTTAATTCTGAAACCACTTACGTCACATTTGGTTCTGGAGTTAAGTGGCATGTTTTCCAGCACTTTACAACACAATGCGCACCCTGCACCATAGTTCTGCTGCCGGGGATTGTGGCCTTAAGCCTTTGAACAGATGGTGTGGCTTCCTCAAATAAATGCTTAAAAATAAATATTGGGCATGGGAGGAAAGTTAAAAAAGAAAGAAAAGAAAAGTGAACATTCAGCTGAGAACTTTATAGAAAACACTACCGAATTAACTCACAGTACATTTGTTAAACATGAATAGCTCTAATAATGACATTTCATTTAACAATGCCCTTTGTCTTTTCAGTTCATCAGTTACCTATTTCAGTAATGAACTGCAGTCATACCATTCTGATTTTCTCCTAATGTAAAGGCTGAGATCACTTGGCTGCCAGTGAAGCATGATGCTATTATTCAGTTTGTGGCTTGGAGGGAGGGGAGAGGAAGGGAAGCTATAGAATATAGCACCGTTCTAATTGGCTAACAGATAGCGACATCTGGGATTGCAAAGGGCAGCTGGTAATTCTGTTTAGCTTCCAGTGGGAAGAAATAAAATAAGCAAAGGAGAAGGAACGGCTGAAAAAAAGTGCCATATGCAATTTGGGAGTAGTGACCAGGAGCCATCTACTGAACGCTGCTTTCATTTTTACGTCGGCAACAAGCCTGGTGTTAATGGAGAACATTTTATTCAGCCTTGAATCTGTAACACAAATGGTTAACAAACTCCAAAAACAGGCTGCCCCAGGGCCATTGATGGAATAAGCCAGGACCCAAGAGTCTGTATATGAAGTCCCAGGTTAACCTAATGGTAAATGCCAAGACCAGCCACATGGCATGATAATGAAACCAAAGTCTCATTGACTTTTGCTGGTCTCTTTTCCAGTTTGTACCTTTCCTCGGAGTGCAAGCTATTTTCAACTTTCCTGCCACTGAAAATATTGGAGGGTAGAATCAGAGCTCTTCTTACAATGCCACCACGAGCACAAAGAATAGCACAGAATGGTTTCCTCCAGCTAACTTAAAATTAAGGCGATTCCACCCAGGTATTTGCAAAGGGGGAAAAATGGGGAGGGGGAGGAAGGTTTTTCCCCCTTCCTTGCTGAGTGCGACTGCATCTATAGATCTCTCTCAATTACCCACAGTAAATTTAGGCATTGTACAAGAGCAAATTTTACAGTCCATGAAGAGATGAAGTGAAATCTAGATGAAATTCATTGTGACAGGTTCTCCGTTAGTGCCCTGATGTGTCTGTATTACAGAAGATAGACATTCTATTAGCATGGAGTCTCCCATAATGGACTGTGAATCATTTCAGGTAATAGAGATGCCAAGCGGAATGACTGAAAAAGCACTATTGAATTCCATTAGAGGTCTTTGTTTTTAAATCAGTCATTTCTTTGTGAATAGCCAACTATATACTTCTTGACCCTATCGGGGAGTAATAATTGTGAACTAATATCACAAAACATTAATCTGAGTTACTGATTCAATTAAAGCTACTTCTCCAGGATTATTTCTGTACTATCAAATGTGAAACAGCCTGAGTATTGCAAATACGTTTCCTTCTTTCTTTCTTTTTTACTTTTTGCTGGAGGAGAACACACTTTCTCAATTTATTTTCTCCCAAGTCCAGTTTCAATTCATTAGGTATAAGGAAGGCTACTAGATTAGATTTCTTAAAACACACAAACACACACACAACCGTGCCAAGGAGAAATAACCCCAATCAACAAATCTATAAAGGTAAACAGTTTTACAAGATGTGCCACAAATAGTTCATGCATAGTCTTGGTTAATTATTAGGAAAATCAATAAATAACTCCCCATCTTACAAGCCAAACAGTGCCACCTTATCTATCCATCACATATGATTTATCCAGCTTCATAATTGCTTGGATAATTAGTACAGGATTTAGGTTCATTTGGTATGCCAAACCCTTTGGGAATGGTTGAATAATTACCATTTGTGGAGACGATCAAGTTATGAATTATTCTTTCCCATACAGAAAGGTGGCTTGGGAACTTAGCAGCATGCCTTTCTTCATTCACTGTCCTAAAAACAAATAGGGGTTTATCCATCATTCCATGTCAAATGCCCTTCAGGATTTTTTATTTTTAAAAAAATCATGCCATGCTGGCAAATACATTTTTAGATGGGGTACAGAACTAAACAGAGAGAAATGCAGGAGTGTGTGTGACCCATGCCCCTCACATTTCACATAGTGGTAAGGGGTGGGTGGGAGGAAGCGAGCACTCTTTATACAGACCATATTTAAATATTGCTTTTCTGTGTTTTCTGAAGATAATGGTCTGTTTTCAAATCCAAACGATCGTCATGCCTCTGTGGCGGAGTTTTCGATGCCCACAGCTTGAGAATGAGACTTCCCTTACTGTTGTAATGACAGGTGTAAGATTAACTTTGTTAGGTGTTGAACCACTCATGCAAACTAAATTAAATTAATGGAACAAATTTCTATCATAATTAAGATAAAAATTCATGTCAGCTGTAACCTTGCTGTACACTAATTATGTACAAATGATTTATCATCTGTTTCGCCCAGAATATTAATCCTCACCTCATTGATAACTCCAGCCAGTGTTAAGAGATGAGAGTTGATTAACAATGACAGATTGGGCAACCACACTGCAGAGTGCCTGTACAACCAGGGAAGCCAATAAGATTTAAATGGCACTTCTTATTTAGAAATCCATTCCCATGGAAACAGATGCATACTTAATGAGGGGAATGGAGATGATTTCAATAATGATGGATATTGGAACAGTGGGCAGAGCCAATCAATAACAATTAAGCACTTAGTCTACTAAAGCTATGGTTCTATAAAGCAGGTTATATACACATTAGTTGGACCCCGGTTCAAGGCATGTTTTATAGAACGTCTTTATGCTTTGCTGTTAATATTATTTGCTTTCATAATTGTGGAAGGCACTGCTTGGGTTTCATATGCTACCAAGCCTATTTTCTGTTTCAAAAAGAAAAAAAATGAATATATTAGAAGAAACAGACATACTAGGAAATTCTTGGAATGGTCCAGATGTGACATCAAAAATGAATTGCAATGTCAAAGACCTACAAATCTGATTTGCTGTTAGTATTACCATAAACATACATTTGTCAGTTTGTTGCTTGTTATTGTTGACTACTTACATACGTAGCTTCCAAAAATTGGATTCCTTATCCATATAGAAGTCACACCTCACTAAATTCTGTGTAGGGTTTCTAACGTTGTATTCCTGTTTGTGACTCTTTGAGAAGCCAATAAAGTGAGCTTTGACTATAAAAGGTTTATTTGGATATGCACTACTCAAGTGGGGGGATTCACCAAAACAAGGGTCTTTCTTCGCAATGGAAGAACAGAAGTGTCAACAGAATGTTTGATGTAAAATTCTAGACTGCAGAGAAATGATCCCTAGAATAACCAGAAAAATCCATAGTACTCCGGAAGCGGGCAAGCTCATGCTGAAAAAAAGAGCCACTATTATAATCCGGGATTGATGTCTTTGAGACACGCAAATAAGAAGATTGTTCTACCTCTTGGGAGCCTTCCAGTAACCCAGACATATCGCTACTTACTGTGGATTGATAATAAAGGGAGGGAATACAGTATTTTTCATCAGTAATGTCACTATGCTATAAACCCATTCTTTTCATTTAGGAACCATTCTCTTAGAGTTCCAGATCACCATTCTGGAACTTTGGTTTTGGATGTTAAAAGGTTGGGCTTCTAACGACAGAAGGTTCCTGACAAATGTTGAAACAATAGACAATCCAGACTAGGCTGGATTTTATTTAGACTAACTAAACAAACCTTGAAACTCAATGGCCAGCCTAGACACTGAGGTTGCAACCCTGACTCCAGTTTTGTAGTCCTTAGCCTTTTGACTTCTGAAGGACAATGAATTCAGGTAGGGTTTGGTTATGTGATAGAGATTTCATTCATTGGCCATTGCCTGTCAGTTTTCAGAGTCTTCTGCAATTTTTGCCCACCAGCACTGCCCGCTTTTAGGTATGACAGCCAATGTGTATGTGTAGCATTTTCATTGACACACCTACCATGGTAGCTGACTCTGAGCAGCAAGTCATTTGTTTAAGTCTTTGATTGGAAGTTGGCAGTGTTACTGAGAAGATCTCCTAATACCCGTCGTGCTCCTCTGCTCACATCTTGGTCCCACAAGATGCAATGATGGGCACCAATTTGGATGGCTCAGAAAGAGGAGTGAACAAATGCATGTAGGATAGTCCTATCAATGGCCACTAGCCATGGCTGGCTATGGTCTGCCTCCACTGCCCTACCTCCACTGGTTACTGGGAATCACAAGTGGGGAGAATGATGTTTGTGCTCAGGGCTTTCCATAGGCATCTGGTTGGTCACAGGATGCTAGACTAGATGGGCCTCTGGCCTCATCCAGCAGGGCTCATCCTGTGTTCTTATACATGCAGAAGTGTCACCATGAGAAACAACGACAGCAGAGTCTGCATGCTGACTGTTACCTGTATAGCATACTTTAGCAAGATCTCAGAGAAACAGGGCTCGTGTTGTGAACTCCTGGCAATACACATTATTCAAGCATTTTTCTAATGTTGCCAAGACACCCAGATGCATAGAGGTCTACTCACGCACCCAGCGACAGTCTTATGCACCATTTTGCTGTGCATTAGACTTCAGTTTATTAAATTCCAGCTTCAGCTGAGAGAGAGCAGGTTCTTCGCACTTCTTAGAGAAAGGCACTTCTTTCTCTGCCCTTCTAGCAATTTCAGGGCTAATTGCCTTTGAATGTGTAAATGCAGATAATTAGAAGAATCATATGTAGAAAGGATTAGACAGAGTGTATGCAGAACAAGTCAAGTATTTGATTCTCCAATTTAATTTTGGATCTAATATCAACTTTAAATAACAGAAAGAGCCATAAGATTTATCATCCTCTCCTCTCTAGGGGAAACACATCTGCTTCGAACCTAATCAGCCACGTTCTATCTCCAGTGCTCTGCGCACAAATGCTAATGAGGGAACGTTTATGTGGCAGAACAAAAATGGATCATAAACACTGCAAGTCAGATGTGGCAACTAAAAATTGCCCTGCACATTTTCATGAAGATTCAGTGCCTGCCTTATGCAATCTCTGTTACTCCTCCTCCCCGCTTCTCATGAATAAAAATTAGGAAAGGGAGACACATAAAAAGGAAGTGCATTAAAAAACTAAAACCACATTTTCATGTGCATTGCACACCTATACACTCACAGTCTTGCTCTTGTGTACACACACACACACACATCTGTATGCAGAGCAATCCTTCTTGTGGATTAATGTTCTTTGCAAGCTGTGTGGTGTGGCGACTCATTGTTCTGGAAAGTACCATGAACACATGAAGCTGCCTTTTACGGAGTCAGACCATTGGCCTGTCCAGGCTAGGACCACCACCCTTGATGGGCAGCAGGCCTCCCAGGTTTCTGGCAAAGGACTTTTCCACTCCTGCTACCTAAGATCCATTTTAAATCAGAGTAGCCAGGGATTGAATGCAAAACATGCACTCTGCCACTGAGATTTTCAGATGGTTGTATGGTTGGTGTGCCAGGCAGACTTGGGTAATATGATGCCCTGAGCGAGGACAAAATTTGGTGCCTCCCCTAAATAATTCCTATTTTGACAATAATTCATTTTGTCACAGTTGCCTTTTCAATGGATCTTCTCAGTAGGTACCCATGTAAATATAGGTTTTAAATGTAAATTTTTTAATTGCTACTTTTTTGCACCCCGTCAGCTTGGCACCCTGTGAGGAGGGCCTGTCCTCACTGCCTTAAATCCGCCACCGAGTGTGTATATGCTCATACATCTCCAGGGACCACAGAGCATCCTTAGCCCTGGGAATGGAATGGAATATAGCATCATTGTGCTTGTAGACTTCTGTGGCTAAATACAGATGACCATTGACATTTGTAACAATGGGTGCTAATCTGAACTTTTTACATGGCTTATTTCTATGGATCATGCCATCTGCAGATAGCATAAGTTTAATATAAAATATACTCCTCATGCGCTACCTGTGACCCTGGTACAAGCTCCGATCTTATACATCACCTGGAAAAAACCCCATAGTTCCAAAAAAGATCAGAGCACTCTGTGTTTGCCAGGAAGACGTGGTTATCAACTTCCTATAAGCAGGTGTCAATTCGACAACAGCAATCTCTTTTAATGGCAATTCACGATTCAGGAACTGTCAAGATAAAGCTATGGTCTTCCCAAAGTTGACACCATGTGCTCTTCACTTCAGACACAGCTCATAAAACACAACAGCACACTAAGAAGGAACAAACAACAGGTCACAGGTGTTGTATTATTTCCTCACAAAGGAAGCCCCCTCTCCTCTCCATAGAAGTTAGAGTCAAAGGGTGGTTAGTTAGCTCACAGCACCAGTGGGGGACCCCCCCCCCTTTGCTTCTCAAGGATCAACACTGTTGCTTGGCTGGCACAGAGTTTTGAAGGATAGACCTTAATTCTCACACAAGGCACAGATCTCAACTCCCATAACTTTGCTATTGTGTTAATAATAATAATAATAATAATAATAATAATAATAATAATAATATTTTATTATTTATACCCCATCCATCTGGCTGGGTTTCCCCAGCCACTCTGGGCAGCTTCCAACAAAACACTAAAATACAGTAACCTATTAAACATTAAAAGCTTCCCTAAGCAGGGCTGCCTTCAGGTGTCTTCTAAAAATTTGGTAGTTATTTTTATCTTTGACATCTGGTGGGAAGGCGTTCCACAGGGCAGGGGCCATTACTGAGAAGGCCCTCTGCCTGGTTCCCTGTAACTTGGCTCCTCATAGCGAGGGAACCACCAGAAGGCCCTTGGCACTGGACCTCAGTGTCCAGGCAGAACGATGGAGGTTTACTGGACTGAGGCTGTTTAGGGCTTTGAAGGTCAGCACCAACACTTTAAATTGTGCTTGAAAACGTACTGGGAGCCAGTGTAGGTCTTTCAAAACTGGTGTTATATGGTCTCGGCAGCCGCTCCCAGTCACCAGTCTAGCTGCCGCATGACGGAGCCAGCCATCACAAATGGCGCAGTTTAGCATAAAATAAAGACACAGAGAGCCGGCAATATTTTCAGGATGGTATGAGCAGCTCCTTTCGAACTTCTCTTCTCTCCTGTAACTTTTATTATCCTTTGTTCTCTCCTCTCGCATGGCCGTTTGCCAATGTCTCACATTACCTACATCCGGTCATGGCTTAAACCCACCCATCGCCATATAGGGTTATGCACTTAATACACTGCAAGGCACGGACATGCAGTCACCGAGGTCAGCGAGGCACCAGGTGGCGCTACAAGCCTTTTCCATGACTTCCTGGCTCCCACAGCCGCATTCTGGATTAGTTGTAGTTTCCGGGTCACCTTCAAAGGTAGCCCCACATAGAGCGCATTGCAGTAGTCCAAGCAAGAGATAACTAGAGCATGCACCACTCTAGTGAGACAGTCCGTGGGCAGATAGGGTCTCAGCCTGCGTACCAGATGGAGCTGATAAACAGCTGCCCTGGACACAGAACTGACCTGCGCCTCCATGGACTGCTGTGAGTCCATTGGCCACCCTAGCAGCCCCCATCAGGCTAATGTCCACCTCCATCCCATCTACAGCTGGGTAGCAACTTGTTACTGCCAATATCTAAGTTTGGATCAGCTTAGGCTAAGAAAAGGGGCTGCACTTCTGCCTGTGTCCCTGTTATCCTCCCACAAAGCTTCTCTGCCCGAGATAATTACGTGAGTCAGGCAATGCAAACAAACAGCATTATTTTGGGATGCAATAAGCAGAGGCTGCCTTTGCGACACAGAAGCCATTCTGCACCTTCCGGTAAATAAACATTTTTTATGCAGACATCTTTTAGAAGAGGCAATAGGCCCACAGCACCGCTCAGCTTTAATGAGCATATGAAGGCAGGGTCATAGGTATATTTCCTTCTCTTTCTCTTTCTTTTCCTTCCCCTCCCCCCTCCGACCGCCCTGCTAGCCTAATGAGGAAAGTGACAGACACTGAAACACTTCACACTTGAGTAATTTCCCAGGCATCAACAACTGCAATGTTCATAGAAGGTGCCGAGTGGGGAGAGGGGGGGTGGGGGTGGGGGGAGAGAGAAAGCTATACAATAAATGTGGACTGAATGCATTGGCCAGAATAAGTTATCACTAGGATAGAGATCTTGGGGCAAGCTCCCCTAGGAAATTTAAACCAAAAG